TTACAATTACTGTACAACAAACAGTAATTTTCCCGCCCCATGGCTTACAAAAGGATACAACTTGAGGCAAAAAAACAAAGACATCTTTATCAGAATACATATTAGCCACAACTAACAACTGTTTAGTATACAAAAACTTTTTTTACTAGGGAAATTGTTTAGTAAGGAATTTGAGGAAAATGTCCATCAAAATTGACCAGAGGTCAAGGGGACAATTCAAACTTTTGAGGGTCTGGAAACAAAGGCTTTTTGGCATTCTTGCTTGATAAATGAATGGCCAAGTGTAAAAATAGCTGAAGATTAGTTTTACCAACCCGTAAATTCAGTCTGATAGATGTTACAAAATAATTATATTCTACTCTATTTCTTGCTGTCAATTACCTATTTTAATAAAGTCACCTTTGTTCTACGAATGTCAGAAATGCTGATGACACTTTAATAAAGCCAAAGGCAATGTCTTTCTTCTTTCTTGTCTGATTGTAATTGTATGTATTTTAAAATGTGGAATCAGTGAATGATGGGCATGTTTGGCTTATAAAACGACTTTGATGATTTATAATTCATGTAAATAGTTTTAACTGAACATAATCAATGAGTCGTTCAACTAGACCATCATTTATTATGCAAGTTATTAAAGGGTTCAGAAACGTTTTCCTCTCACCTGTCTGTACCAAGCAGCTGGCAGACTGACAGTATATTATTAATGAAAATATTTACATCATCACCTACCTTCATTTTCAGATGTTGGACATGCCACCTGTACAACCAGATCAAATGTTCTCTCTGGATTCTCCCTGCAAACAACAAAACACTGTTTACTCAGGGGAGATAAGTGGCAGCTGTTATCACACACAACCATGGGCAACAAGTGTGTGTTCAGCATTAGCACACGTAGCAACTGTGTTGAATTCCCTTGCATGTGCATTAGTATAACATCAATGAAGTGCACATGCCCTACTTTACCTGACACACTGTCAATAGCGGACAACGTCAATACGAGCATGTTAGCTAAAGCTGGTGGGGCTTTATGTAAGAATGAGGAGTTATCTTATCGGACAACGTGCAATATTTGGACAAACTTTGGTCACAGGACACTGTCGCTGGGTGTCCTGTCCACATGTAATACCCTATGTACGGCTGTGTGTGCTCGGTTAGCGGAGCGGCTAATTGGTGGTCAGCTAACGGACAGAGCAACAGAATGACCCAAATGCTAGAGCCAGCTGGCGGTTAAATCCACGGCTGGAGGGGGCTCGAATTACGGCCAACATTCCTCCGTATTTCACACTCAGCTGCGAGTTAACGCTGCGAGCCGGGGACCACATATTAGCCGTTAGCTCGACAGCTCTATATCAATGAGCGACAGCAAAGGGGGGATTAAAAAACACAAATCTCAGGGGTCTTACTTGATTCTGCTGTCCATGGTTTAGCTACAACATCGCGACAACTCCGTGCTGTCGGCGGCTCTGCTGTGGCTGTGCCTGGCTGTCCGCGAGGATCTCCAGCTCGACCTTCCTCAGTCCCACCCGTCACTTCTTCTGCCTTATCTGACACCTCTCGAAAGTTGCCGCGACCGCATGCTTGGAGGTGGGACAGTGTGGGAGTTTGTGCCGTCCTTCTGCCGTTAGATGTAGCCTGAATCCACAGTTCAGCACCACGGCGGATATTTCCCACAACAAACAGCACTCCAGGAAGTGCTGTCAAAGATTTGGTGACGTCAGCGCGTCAGATGAGCACCTTGCTGCTTCTGCCTGCAAGCATCTCTGCTCCACTTGAAATGAGTAACCAGCAGGATACACACAGCAGACCTCAGCCGTGTGATTCATGCTTTTAAAAAAAATGGTTTCCCTACGAGACTGTATTATTCGTTCAGTAATTGTGGCATCGGTAGCCTTTAGCAGTTGCTACAAAAGTGGGGTCCTCCTGGGACCATCAGGGGTCCTTGTGAGGGCTTCCAAAGTATTAAAATATGTTTTGGCCACTTAAGGGCTGACTAACAACCTACAAAGACAACATTGCTCTAAATATATTTTTAAGTTATTATGTTTAACATCATAGCAAACAGTTGCCTATACATTTAGATATACCAAGTAATATTTGTATTAATTTTCATTCAGTATTTTCATTATGGATTAGTCTACAAGTTATTTTCTGGATCAATAGTTTGCTTTATAAATTGCCAAATAAATGTCAGAAAGTATTTAACAAAAAATGTCCACCCCAATTTTAAATCCATGGTGATGTGTACAATCATTGCATCATTACTAACACTCGATGTGTTGTTGATCTTCACCATGTAATAGGGAATTATATGGTTGCTTAGCTGGTAAAAATACGATTTTATATGAAATTTATAATAATATTAACAATAATGCATACATTTATTTACCAGTTGATAGCTAGGCAACGCAATTTGTTTGTTTAACATGATAAGTGAGCAATGACCACAACTTATCATGGGTAACTTCATTTAAAAGAAGCATAGAGCTTCTGAAAACCAGCTTTTGCCTTCATATTTCTTAACCAGCGTTAAGTTGCATTTGAACAAAGCCTGAAGCTTTGAAACACAGGCTTATGACTAAATGGCTGTCAGCCATGGTATGTGTGGGGAAAGTGAAACAGTAGTGCTTGCCTCTATTTACCACCACAGAAGTGCCTTAGAGCAAGGCTTTTAACCCCCAAATGCTCCAGTGCACACAGACTGTGGGGGGCAGTTGAAGTTGAAGAAGACTGGCATGATCACTTGACTTTATCCTGCATAATAACAGTGTGCCATGTCTAAATGCTACTTACAGTAACCATGTTAGACGCCAGTAGTCCGTGCATGAAATAAATGCTGAAGTCGCAATACATAATTCAGTTACATAAGCTTTTGAACATTCTCTGTGTCAGGCACACAAACCATGAACTGTTTGGAATCAGTGTTACGTCCCAGCAACATAAAACCAGTTGTACTTAGTATAAATAAAGTTGTTTAATGAAAACTCTAATTAAATTACATACGAGCAGCTTAACATCAGCCTATACTGTATATGACTATTAAATCTGCTTCAGGACTGCACATTAAACACGTTGTTCATGAATAAGCTGAGTCACTGGCCCAAGGGGAAATCCATCCTAAAATGATAGGATTTATTTAATGTTGCACTACTCATTGATTTAATTTAGTAATTTAAATGAGACAACCCCTTTCCGATTCATAACTGTGAAACTTTATAATATTAAAATCATTAATTTTGGCATTATTTAGGTAAAATATATAGTATGATCTCTGAGATCATATGAGTCTAAAGAGTCAGTAACAAATTAATTATTGGTTGACCAGCGCCCTAAAGTGACACCTGATGACATGATCAATTAGCATTGAAAATCTTTTAATTTCCTTTTTAAGGGTAATATTATTCGTTTTTTCATGGATGTCTTTCTATTCATCCTAAATATGCAGTGCCATGTAAATCCTTTTTTAGGGTGGGCTTTCCTTTTATTGTTTGCATGTTTATGCAATATTTGTCCCATGGTAAATTGAAACCAATGGCTTAGATGTACATCTCTCTCCTCTCCAGAGAGTCTGCCTGGATCCCAGCCAGATTTCTTCAGGCTGACTGGAAGGTAATTAAGTGGCAGCAGACTGGGGCATGCTGTTTCAGGCATCCATATGAAATGATAATGGCTGCTGCCTCACCAAAAAAGAAAAACACAATATGACACACATAAACACAAACAGAAACATACATAAAGCTAGAGTCTTGGACATTTTGAACCAGTGAGATATCACATTTCAGAGAACTGTAAACAGTTATCTTAACCTCAAATAGAAAAAAAGGACAATATGATGTTCCATTGTTTTAAATCCCTTGAAATATGTTTCTGATTTGCTTCAAACATTTGACCTAGCTGAGGTGCACATGATTAAACTCAATCGAAATATCATCACAAGTAATTATAGAAAGAGGGCTTTTGTTTTAAGTTCATTAAAATGCAGCCTTAAAGCCAACAGAAGAGCAACTGCAACATCTTGCACTGTTTCCCAACATTCAGTGCAAAGTGTAACTTGTAAAGCATATGCATTATCTTACATTTCAGCTTGTTTTACTAAAGAAAGAAAATAATCTTGTTTTATTCATCTAGCGTTTTTTGTGTGTACAATGTTCCTCATCGTAAGCATGAATATGTATATTATCATTGATGTGTAATTTGTCTTAGGGTGCATTGACCCCACAGTGTCAGTCAAAAGACACTTGTCAGGTTTCATTACCCAGAGTTCATTTGTAGACACATCAGAGGTGGCTTACAGCGATGGATAACCTTGAGAGGACTCATTAATGTCCACTCATCAACCTTGCAGTGCTTTGTCCAAGTCACTATATAACTATATTATGGGAAGGTGTCTTTGTTTGCATTGCTCCCAAGGAGGGCAAAGCTTGGAATTTAGGGATAGTGTATAGGCTTACAATTTAAATTATACAATAACAGGAGGTTTAAAATGGCATATACATCATATTCAGAGGTGTACAGCAGAAAAAAGACAATAGCACTTTTAATTACAGAGGATTTTTGCTACTTTTAGCTAAGTAAAATATCAAAGTGCTTTTTGGGAGTGAATGAGATGTGTTTTTCAAAAATTTAGGAAAATTACCCTTTCACTTGTGTAATGGGTGCTATTTATTTTTAGAAGAAAATAGTGCACCAATGCTTTAAGATTTGTGTCTGTATTTGGTCATTGTTAAATCACTAATAATTAATTTCTATATGTAGTCGCATAACTAAATGTACTAATGCGGTGATGATTCACAAAACTATTATATTTGTCAGTCATTATTTGGTGTTTTATGTAGGCTATATTGTTTTAGGTTATCCTCCCACGGGGCGCGTGCGGCTGCAGTGAAGCAGCAGAGGTGGCGCTGTGAGAGCCAGTGGATCAGTAGCATGGTCACATGTCATGTGACCAGGCGAAGCAGGAAGTACGTTTCTGTAGAGGGAAAACCGGCAAAAAGTGAGTGGAGGACGCAAAAGTAAACATGTAACATCTTTCAAACATGTGATATAATCAGTCGTTTCTGTGTTTGATTATATGGGCGGTTTTCCCGGATATCTATTTGCACTCAAGTGCAAGGTGATTAGTTTGAAGTAGTTTAACCTTTACCCGGTTCCAGTAGGTAGTATTTTTATGTTTTACAGGTCATGTTTCACCAACATTACCGCCGGTGTAAAGATGTTGTCTGCCGATTGATTATCCTCCGTGTGCCGTTTAATAAACGACTTTTAACAATGTCAATACCGAACCTATCTGAAGAAAGCTCGAAGCGACTGAAAGGCAGAGCCAGGTTACAGTCCAATGCAGACAGGAGAGGAGCAGACCCCAGTGAGGGGCTGACAACATGCAGCATTGTACACGAGCACCCTGCAAGAAAGTTCACAGAGGAAGAGATGGACATCCACAGAACCCACAGAGAGGCATGTGAGGTGAGACCATCACTCTCCCACCCACTGCTCCCATGTTGATGTCAATCTGATCACATGATTAATTACAACAGTGTGTGATATGTTATTTGCAGCATCAAAATAAACCTAACGTGCCAAAAGTACTTATTATGCAAATTGGCCCATTTCAGAATAATATATCATGTTTTGATTATAATTATTGATGCATTAAAGTGTTATCAAAGCTGGTAAAGGTGCAGCTAGTTGTAATGACTTTGTATACTGCAGGGTAGCTTCTGAATGTTATTCCAGGTGTAACTAAAGTCTTATTTAAGTGTTGATCATATTTCACATCATTAATCAAAATCTTCAAAGTAGAGGAGTAAAAGTACAATATTTACCTCTGAATTGTAGTGGAGTAGAAGTACAAAGTAGCATAACATGGGAATACTTATGTATTACTTACTTGAGTAAATGTAATTATTTACTTCCCCAACTCTGGTTATTTGTTGGTTTTAATTCTCTACTGAGTTAATTAACTTCAGTTGTGGCATGTGTAAGATGATTTTATTTAAAGTAGCAAAGCCACAATGTAAAGATACTTTGAGTACAATACTCTCATTCAGAACATTGCTTTTTGTACAGTATTCAAATGCTGGTCAATTATCTTTCAATGTAGGATCTGAAAATGCAAAGCATGTAGTCAAATAGCTGTCTTTGAACAATAAATAATATCAATTGCTGAATTGTAGCCAACTAGAAGTATTATAATCATGATGGTATCACAAACCTACTTGAGTTGTTCTCAACTGTTTGCATTAGAGTCTAGCTGTACACAATTACACCATGTCAACAAAAAAACATGTATGCATTCTTTCACTATTGTAGTGCTACACTGAAAATATGAAACAGGTATTTTAACTGTTCACCAAAACAAATGTAATATATGCAAGCTAAGTAGCAATTCTTTTTGGAGCTATACTCAATATTGTGTCTACTTATTTATGTTGAGTTAAAATGTTGCCTGTTAAGCATTATGAATAATGAGAATCTAGTAGAGAAGACTGACTACCTTGAGGTGATTGAATGTTTTTTTTAAAAGCCCACCATGGTACATTTTAATTTCTACTAAGTGATATGCTCCTTCAAATAACAAACCAAATGTGAATTTCACAATAATTCAAATACTATTAGTACAAACAGTACTGTATCAAATAGGATTATTGTTTATCAAAACTGTCCTGTACCTGTAGAGCCATTGTTCACTTTTTCTTCTAGAAACCCCCCAATGTGTCCTTGGTATAATTACATTTACTGTCATTTGCAATTTTAAATTTGATACAAGGTTTCCTTATTTTCATTGTAATTTCCTTATTTGTCATTTGTATTATATTCTGGATCACAAAGGGATTGTCAATATATTACACATCTATGGTGCAAATATATGCACCATAGATATATTTTAGGAAAATTACAGTTGTAAAAAAACCATTTTGATTTACTTTGACGCACGCTTACCTACTCAGTGTTTCTACACAGTACCTGTCATGTAAGTAATTGTCAGATCCATCATATTCAACCAAATCTTCCTTGCTCTTCCATCAAACAGAGTGTGTCTCTGTGGTGATGACAGTGGTGAATAGGTGTCATCTTCATGCCTCCAGGCTTATCTGTTGTAAATATTGTGCTTCTGAGTGTGGATGAAGTTGAGGCAAGTTGGCCGTGACCTGAGGAGAGTGGTAGGGCCTGGGTGGGAAAAGCACAATGCAGAGGGGGCCCTGCTATGCCAGCTTCACTATGTGCCCCTGCAATGCCATGCGAAATGACAGGCTGTGTCACCAAATGGCCTGGGGGCTTTTTCCCTTTGTGGCCTGTCAAAGCTCACCAACTAGTGGGCTCTCAGTTTGAAACAGACTGAAGGATGACATTTTCTAACTTCCCAAGGAATGGCAGAGTAGCTCAGTGTTTTCTTCTACATACAGAAGAGTTTAAATGTCTGTACAAGATGCAGATCAGTTGATAACTCATTGCAGATTTTCACCTACAAAAGAGCTGCACTAATTATTTAGTAAAATCAGAGATTCACCATGTTGCATCTGTTTGTATGCACATAGGTTTTCCATTCCCTCACCTCCTTGACCCAAAGCAATCTGTCTCTATATGTTCACATTCAGTAGTATACCCGCCTGTGCATTTGTGTTAGATATGTACATGTAGGTATATGGTGATGTATGCAGGGGTCACACACCAGCATGTGTTTGTATGTCACACTAATTAAATAATAATGTGTTCATTCTGTTCAGACAAAGAAGCAGATGTACGTGGACCCTTCCAGTGGGTACAAGGTGTTCACAGAGTATGCCCAACTTCAGAGAGGGAAATGCTGTGGCAGCGCGTGCAGACATGTGAGCCCTTTGATTTCTTGTGTACCAGGTTGTGTGTTTCTCCACTTCAATCTGTTTTTTCACAGCATGTTTTTTCTTTTCATCTGGCCTCAGTGGTATGTTTAGTTTTGTCCCATCCTCTTCATTTTTTTTTAATCTATCTAGTTTCCATATGTCAATTTGCCTTCGATTTAACCTGTGTTTTCTTAAAGATCAAATAGTCTTACATTTATTATGCCCAAAATAGCACAAGTTTATATGCATGGCCGGTTGACAAGAGCATCTGAACATCAGCTGTCCCTGGTGCCGAAGACAATAATTTATTATTTTCAATAAGTCCATTATTCTGTATGTTTTTTCTTTTCAAACGGCACATGTAAATCATTTTACTCAGTTTGACAATGTACTTTAATGTTCAGTGAACACTAAGCTTTAGGCTTGCTACATTTGATATGATACATGTTACTAATGTAAACCAGACAAGGGCTGCACAGCATGTGGCCTGCTTGGTGCATGACAACATTTTATCCCTCAAAAAACAAATCCTTTTTTCCTCCAGTGGTTTTACTTTTGCAGACATTACTGATGAAATAAAAGGCTTAAATAGTTATTTCTTTTGTATGGGGGTAAACTGCTTATTTTACAAACATCACTTACTGTATGTTGCACCAAACAAACACATTACATTTCATTTAGCTGACGCTTTTATCCAAAGCGTCTTACAATTACAGGGACATTCTCCCTGGAGTAACTAAGGACTTACTCAAGGGCACACTAGTGGTGGTGTTCCTGGCGGGATTTGAACTCACAACCTTGCGATCTTCAGCCCACCTCACTATCCATTAGACCACCACTATCCCCACAAAGTGAATGACCCATTTTTAAGCTTTACCAGTTACAATATGGTATCAAAGATGAATGGAAAAACAGTACATAATTTCCCCTAATCCTACAAGTGTTAAACTTCTCAATGCTTAATACTTTTAACGTTGACACATATCTTTAGGTTTATTATTTGAAAATCAAACCACACTCTGTAAATGTAGGTCAATATAGACAAGATGGATTTGATCATAACATTATACCCTCATTATACCTGTGACTCACTTCACCTATGTTGTGACCTGGTGACATGTGTCGTCCTTTCTTACTGTGTCTGGTTCAGTCCTAGATATTCTTTTAACCTCATCCTGTTGAAAGCTTACAACCATGTCTTGTTCTCTGTGTGACTGATGTTTTACTCCACATATGACTATTTATTTTTTCATTTCTCCTCTAGTGTCCATATGGCCAAGTCAACGTGAAGGACCCTGCAATGAAGAAACAATTTAATACTTTATTTTATGCATGACGAAGGTAAAATGCCTGTTCAGAATGGAACACAAAACATGTTGCTTATCTTCTGCCTGTCATTATCCGAACTACTTTGGAGTCATTTTTAGCAGTGTACTAAATGATGAAATAGGGGTACTGTCTGTGCAATATCTACCTCCAGTGAATCACAACTATTCTCAGGATTATTATTATTCTCACAAGACGGGGGAGGAGGAGCAAGGATTTGTTCACTAGAGCCTCATATAAAATAGTCTTTAATCACATTTTTGTTTTGCCATATTTTTCAGTTCTTTTTCTCCAATGTCCAATGAAATGCCTTGAGCTCCATTTCTTGTTTCTCTTTAAGAGTACTTAATATTTTGTGGTTTTCTGCTACTCTGATGCATTTACAAGGGTTGTGGGAGTATGGAGATGAAAACTGAAAGAGCATTTTAGATCTTTGCCCTCTAGATAAAGGGCATATAAGCGAAACTAACTGCAGATAGTCAGATGGAGTCTTGTGCTCTTTTGCTTTGCATCTCTAGTTATTTTTCCTCCCAAATGTACGACTGTATGAATATTAGCATCATTTACACTCCACAAGTGCTCGTCTGAACTGTCTACCTTTGACTGAAACGCTGTGTTGTTAAAAATAGGCAGGGGCCAAGGGTCAGCCCTCACACTTGGCTGCGCTTCTTTTACACTACTTGATGGAATCAGGCTGCTAACAAACATGCCATGGACATCAACAGCAGCCCTCCCCACCGGACTCCCAGCTCAGCCTCCTGGCAACACTTGGCTCCAGCTCAGCTCCCTGCGGCTGCTCTCCTGAGCTGCAGCCTAATGAACTCCTGGGCCCTCCTATCCCAGCACTGCAATAGATCAGCTCATGTTCACGAGCTTGTTTAGACGCACACATGCATAGACAGGCTTACTCCATCAGAGCACCCTGTGGCTCCTAATAGGCCAATATAGAATAAAGGTTGCTCTAAACACCGCACTGTGTAGCCCACAGTAATAGTACAAGGTAAGGTCAAGCGCTCATGCGGCAATACCTGTGCGTGCGAGAGATGTTGAGGGAAGATGTGGCACTTGATTTGTGAGTGCATGAGGGGAGGCAGCGCCATGCCTCCGGGCGCTGGCTGTGAACCTGCCACACACACTCGCCTGTCTCCGCCTGATCGGGCAAACAGCGTCGGGATGAGAGGATGTGTCTGCCGCGGAGTCCTGTCGCAGCCGCCTATACTGGCGCAGCCACACTTTCCCTCGGCAGGTGGGTCCCAAAGGCAAGTGCTTAGTGATCGGACAAAAGCCCTGTGAGCGGCTACAAGGAGATTCATGATCCCAACAGTGCTGGGGAGGACAGGTTCTTGGGGACGCGTCGTCAGGCGGGATGAGAGGCAAATGTATTTGGTGTTATTCTAAACCGAGGCAGCGGAGCGTGCGGCAGCAACATTCCTACAGCGGGACGGTGAAGGTGTCACACTCATCAAGTACCTGGGCCCGCTCGCCTGCCGCGGCTCTGCGGGTTTTGCCTAGGGACTTGTCTGTCACATTAAAGTAGATGCATTGCCATTCAGGGCCTCGGCGGTCCCGCAGCCTGACCATGAAATAGGCCAACTTTCATGTCTGCCTCATCCCTCCACGTCTTCCCGATCCAGTGATGGCACAGTTTGAAATGCTTTTTTTTCCTTTTCTAAATCATGTTCTTGCCTATCAGTTGTTGACTGAGACACAAACAACACAGCAATCCCTTTGACAGATTTATGGAGAAAGTTACTTGGAAAAACCTCCTGCCACCATAAGCAATTATCATATTAAAGTATGTTTGGAAACAGTAAGCATGTTCTTGAATTGTGCTTTTTTGAAAGCATGTCATTCACTTCCACAATGAGAGAGCATTGAAAAGACAGCCATCTTTTGTATTTGTCTTGCTTATAAATTGGTTTAATAGTCTTTTTTTTCAACTTATTAAATTGTGTTTGACAACTTTAAAACTGTAATGGCAATCAACCTCATGAACAAATTCATTCTGTTGACTTTGGCTGTATTATGCAATATCAGTAGAATGATGAAAATGGAAGAAATCTCTCAATAGGCAAATATCCTTACACCCACATTTGCACACACATGGTATTCCCTCAGTGCAGATGTGCTCTGAAGTTACCACAGCCAACCCGACATGTGAGGTGTTTATTTCAGGCATTTTGGACTGAACATCTCTGACCTTCAGCCGGAGCATATGCTGTGCTGGAGCAGAGTGGCAGATAGACCGTGTGCCTTTCTACAGGATGATGGCACTAGCCGCAGAGAAAAAGAGAGCTGTCCAGTTTGGAACTGTGACCAGACAAGTCACAACCAGTTGACAGGCCAAGTAGCCCCTCCCTCACTCAGCCCCCCCCACCCCCCCCATCCATCTCAAACAGGAACAGCAGCCCTGCGGCCAATGGCCCCGACCACAGTCAGTTACAGTGTCTCCATCACTGTTAGCCAGACCAGCCAGGAACTGACATAGGGTTGGGCGGGGGGGAGAAAAAAAACTTGAGTGTCAGCCGTATGATGGCTGAAAGGAACATCAGTCTAAGCAATTGGCCGGGCACTGCTATGTACTTGTTGGTGTGCATGCTCGTGGGTATACGTGCATGTGTGTCTTGATATTCAAGCAGCATTTGAGCAGCCCCTACATCAACGTCTGGTCCTGCTACACACACACTGTCAGCTCGCCTCGGGGCAGCAGCCTCCACAGTGGTCATATGGACAACCAGATCCCTGTGGTAGAATTAGTGATAAAAAACACACATGGCCACTGAGTGACAGTCAGCGCACCAGATTCCTTTGGACAGACAGGGCTGCAAATAGCACGGAGGAGCAGTTTCTCCTTCAGACCGCAACTGGTGGTCAGGCTCATGCCAGGCCAAGTCGTGGCTGCCAGATGAGCCCAGATAAAAGGAGAGTCAGGGGCAGAAGCAGACACCTAAGTGCCTAGGAGCACTTTGCCCTGATTATTTCTCTCCTGTTTTTACATCAATGCAGGATTTCTTGTCTACACTAACAAGAGAAGGCATGTGATTGCTTTTCTTGTGGCTTTTACACTATTTAACCTCTAACTTGTGATTCCCTCTGACTCACTCTTCAGTGAATGGTTGAAGTAGAAAGAAAGGGAGTGTTTGACAGTATAACAACATATACAAGCATCGCCTAGTCTTCTGCGCTTTGCCCCATAAGGTTATATAGCTATAAAGAACATTTGTCTATTATGTTTCCATGTCCTTTCTAGTGTGGCCAGATATGGAGTAATACGCGCACTATTCCCCAGGAGGATACTCTGTCCCCAGAGGAGCTGGTGGGGGTGTGGGGGGTGTGGAGGTTTGCTTTTGGAGCTGTTCTGGAGGCAGGGAGGGGAGGCAGGCAGCAGTTGGTGTGCAGAGAGCAGAGGCTCAGGCTGGCTAGTTAAGAGCTTCTCTCTCCTATCCTCCATCTGCCAGGGACCGGGGCTGTGATTTGAGCTCCAGCAGAGCAGAGCAGAGAGGAGATCGAAGTAGGGGTGGAGGGAAGTAGGGGATGGGGCGGTGGGGGGTGGTGTTTGTCAGTGGTAGTCAGGGGGGGAAGGAAGGGGAGCGTTGGTTGGAAGAGAGAGAAAAGAGAGAGTGGAAGGAGCGGGGAGGAGAGGGGGAAAAGTGAGAGAGAAAGAGCTGGAGAGAGAAAATATGGATGGAAATGAAGAAAAAAACAAATGTGTGAGGATTGAGACGCCTCTAAACAGGGCTATTTTTGTCTGAGTTTTTATATATTATCATTCTAAACCCCCTTTAGAGTTTGAATGCCAGGTGTTTGCTATAAAAACAGAGTTTAAGGCATGATATTTTACCCATGCTTATGTTTTTTTTATATTTCCTTTCCTCATGAAACCATGTCCACTGTGTGTTTGTGAATATTTCCAGGATGTCTCACCCACCCACCCAGGCTCATGTGACTGGGTTACATCTTTACAGTGCTTCACTCCTCCCTCTGTTCCTCCTCCTCTACCCCCCCCTTCCCTCCCTTTCCTTTCCCACTCCTCTCCTCTCCTACTCCTCTCCTTCATTCTGTCAGTGTTTAGCCCGTGGTTCCCCGCTGCACAGTGGATCCTGGGAGAGCCTTCCCACCTCCTCCTCCTCCTCCTCCTCCTCCTTCTCCTTCTTCCTCGCCTCCTCAGCTCCTATTCTGGCCATGCTCTGGGAGTGACTGAGAGCTCCCTCCACGAGACTGAGTGTCACTTGAGGTGACCCAGAAATGATGACTCCAGATGAACCCTGGATGTGTGGTAATCTAACCACCATGCCCAAGGAGCCAGGCAGCCGTGGAGGCAGGCATCCCGGGCTGATGCAGTGTCTGTGGTCTCACTGTTGAGCCAAGCTCGCTGCACATCCTGTCTGCGTGTCGTGCTCCCAGAATGCTGTGTGCACTGTTCGTGTTGTGGTACACAGTGAAATGGATCTCAGTGGCGTTGCATTATTGATGAGATACATTGTGATGTCAGCCCAGGCGGAAGGAGCAAAGCAAAATGACTGTTAGCAGTATGGCACTGTGTCATTTATGCAAGCATACAGAGGTGTAATTAATTGTCACCCTTTGCTCTCATTGGAGCTAACAGCGTCTATTCACTTGTGTCAATAGAAATCAGTCCATCTATACCTTAATGTGTTATCCAATTGGACAGTGTGAGCAGGTTTAGGGCATCCTGTCCTCTGGATGACCTGTCTTTTTTTATGTTAACAGCAAATATATAATTCAGATGGAGGCACCATGCACTTTAAAGTGTTAACATTTTGTTATTAACATTATTATTATTTAACTGCTTGTCCTGTTGTTTAGGTGACTAATAATCCACCAATGCACAAAGCAAATACACCAACATTATGGACCATTATACTGTTTAGGGAAATTCATTCTCAATATTGAAATAAAATAAACATATCCTCTTATTAGCAGTCAGGAAAAATGAAATCTTTAAAGCATAAACAATATTAATATTTACTAAAAAACCTGACATTATTCAATGTGGTGAATTTTTCATCAACATTTCTTTTTATTCATTAGATGTTGCAACATGAGGCAAAATGTGTGTAGATGGTGCAGCTCTGAATCCTGCAGTGGGTTATAATAGGAAGTTTGTCAGCTGGACTCTGCTGGAGAGTCAGATGGAGAAACATGCATCACAGTTCAGGGGAAACGAAACTTGAACCAAATTATTAAATTATTTTTAATATTGTCGATATGGGGAATTAATTCAATACAACCAGAA